TAGAGCCTCGAAACTCTCGAAACTTTCTTGACCGAGTTTCAGTTCACCGTAAATGACAAAGTTAGACAGAGCTTCATCTTAAACATATGATCCTCTTGATATTTTGGCAATATGGTTCCACATCTTCATAAGCCCGTCAAAACTTGGTTCTTCTCTAACCTGCCCAGAAATAACAGGGTTAGCCCTATCAACTTGTGCTGCCTCAGGGGCAGTAACTCTATGCAGACCCAACCTCTCAACAGCAAAATCAGACGCCAACTCATTTGACCCGCAAGCACTGATCCCACCTTGAAGTGCATTGAAGGGTTTCCCTTCACAATCACCATTCGCCTTTCTCGCCCGCGAACCAGCCTTTCTCGTGAAATTCTGCCTCTCAGAGGTTCCAGAAACAACAGTCTTCTTGTCAGAAATCAGCTGACATAGCGATGCTTTCTCGCCATCTAGCTCCCCTTCTCTCACACAATCACCGCCCCGCCTCCTTTTCCTTTGTAAATCAATTCCACCCACATCGATCGCAATCTTATCAGGCAAAGAAGCCCTATCAGGTTCCCTCACACCCGTCAAAAACTCCTTGTGTAATTGCACCTTCACTTTCGCTTTGACCTTCCCATTTTTCACTCTCCCCTGCCTATCACCTCCCTTGAGGTACACCCTATCACCTGACTTGTGTGCATACGCGTCAAAGCAAACCCCGCCTTTTCCTGCTTCTTGCCTTACCCCCACACGCTCCCCACACACCCCTCGTGTACCCCCTCCCACCCTGTAGTCCAAGTCTAAAGCCCGACTCTCAGCTTCTCCTGCTCCTCCTCCCATCTCCTTGCGTGCACCAGCACCACCTCCTCCTCCAGCCTCATTCTGTGAACCTGTATCCCCCTCCTCCTTATCACCTGCCACGTGCTCCCCATCTGCCACGTCAGCAACATCATCATCCACGTCCTCCCCAAGCCTCACCTCCTTGCCCTCTGCCCTCCACTCCTCACCCAGTCCAAAGCTTTCCAAATCTTCCTTGCTTCCCCAACCTCCCTTGCTTCCCAAACCTTTCCTGCTTCCCAGACCTCCCTTGCTTCCCAAACCTCCCTTGCTTCCCAAACCTCCCTTGCTTCCCAAACCTCCCTTGCTTCCCGAACCTTTCCTGCTTCTCAGACCTCCCTTGCCTTCCAAACCTCCCTTGCTTTTCAAACTTCCTTCGTCTCCACCATCCTCCCCCTCTTCAACGTCCTCTCCCTCCTCATCATCCTCCTGCCCTGTCAGATCAACCACATCTACGTAAGGCTCTCCTACCCCACCTTCCTCATCTATCCCCACTACCTCCCACACGCCCACCTGCTCCTCATGCCTCCTCTCCCCCCTGCCGTCCCTGCCACCCCCACCCTCCGTGATAACTCCTCGCTTGCCCCCATCACCATTTCCACCACCTACCACTCCTCCACTCCCCCCCCCACCTTCTCCCGGATTTGTGGATGCGCAGTCGCCGCCTACTCTCACACCTGCCATCCCATCCCTTGTGACATTGTGTGGCAAGACTGGGCAGTGTGTGGAGCGAGGTGAACGCTCCTGGTTTGGGGCCGTTGCATGCGACGCCTCTGGAATCGCGGGGCGAGGCGACGCCTCTGGAATCGCGGGGCGAGGCGAGCACACAGCTCTCACAACCGGTCGAAAGAGCCGCCGCAAGGCGTCCATCTCCCCATCCTCCTTCACCACGCCCACGCTTATCAGGCCGTCCACAGGTGGAAGCGTGCCTGTCAGTGAGCCTGAATGAGGAGACACGCCTGTTGGCGCGTCCACAGGTGGACGCATGCCTACCACAGCAGCATTTGGTGCTGCCACTGCAACCTTCCCTCCCTCTGCATCTCTGCTGCCTCTGGCTGCACTGCTGCTCCCTCCTCCTGCCACTGCACTGCTATTCCTTGCTACGCCACTGCTCCCTCCAAGCGTGCTCGACTTCCCCTCCAGCCTTGATTCGTCTCGCCCTCCCAATCCCTCACCAAATCTTGTTTCCTCTCGCCCTCGTGAATCTCTTGCCTCTCTTGATGTTCGTGACTCTCCACCTCCTCTCAGCCTGTCACCCTTTCTCGAGCCACCACCCACTTCCACTCTCTTAAAGCAGTCAAAAAGAGTCAACCCTTTTCTAGGTTTGTGACAGTCTGCTGCTTCCTCCCTCCCTGCCTCCCTCGCCTCCTCGCTCCCTTCGTCTGCCTCGTCTCTCCTTTCCTCTACCTCCATCTGCCCCTCTTCTGCCCTCTCCCACCTTTCCCTCTTGATTCCATCGCCATCAGACATCCCTGTCGCTCGCTCTCCTTCTGTGCTCCTTCCTTCCTTGCACCTCCTTCCTGTCGCTTGCACCTGCTTCCCTCCCTCCCCATCCCCCTCACCCTCCTCCGCCTCTCTCATTCTCTTCCTTCCTTTCACACCCCCCTTGCCCACACCCAGACCACCACCAGCCTTCTTATCACCCCTTCTCTTCCCACCTCCCTTCTTCTCACACCCTTCCCCTCCCTCTCCCCCTTCCTTCCCCCCCCCCTCTCCTCTCTTCTTAGCCTCCAAAGCCACCACCGCAGCCCTCGCTCTCCTCCTCTCCTCAGCCCACTGGCGTTTTTGGAAGTTAGTGTGCGACAGGTGGCACGCCACACAGAGCGTGCGCAGATTCTCCACTCCGCACTCCCCTCCCCCCTCCGCCACCGCTACTTTATGATCCGCATGCCACACGTTGCCCTCTGTGGGAATGTCTATTAGACGTTGCAGCCTGGGGAGTGGGCAGGGGGAGGAAGTGGGGAGCAGGATGGCAGGGATATGAGGTGTAAACACAGGGAGGAGAGAGAGGCATTGGGAAAAAGAATGGGAGGGGAGGGGAGTTAGTGTGCGACAGGTGGCACGCCACACAGAGAGTGCGCAGATTCTCCACTCCGCACTCCCCTCCCCCCTCTACCACGGCCACTTTATGATCCGCATGCCACGCGTTGCCCTCTGTGGGTATGTCTATTAGACGTTGCAGCCTGGGGAGTGGGCAGGGGGAGGAAGTGGGGAGCAGGATGGCAGGGATATGAGGTGCAAACACAGGGAGGAGAGAGAGGCATTGGGAAAAAGAATGGGAGGGGAGGGGAGTTAGTGTGCGACAGGTGGCACGCCACACAGAGAGTGCGCAGATTCTCCACTCCGCACTCCCCTCCCCCCTCTACCACGGCCACTTTATGATCCGCATGCCACGCGTTGCCCTCTGTGGGGACATCCACCAGCCACTGCAGCAAGGTGGGCGGGGAGGAGAATGGGGATGGGAGGGGAATGGGATGGTGATGGGAAGGAGAGGAAGATTCTCCACTCCGCACTCGCCGCCCCCCTCTGCCACGGCCACTTTATGGTCAGCGTGCCATGCGTTGCCTTCCGTGGGAAGGTCTACCAGTCGCTGCAGCCTGAGGGGGTGGGGTGAAGGATGGGGGAGGGGAATGGGGTCAGAGATTCTCCACCCCTCACTCGCCGCCTCCCTCCACCACTGCAGCTTTATGATCCGCATGCCATGCGTTTCCCTCCGTGGGAAGGTCTACTAGTTGCTGGAGCCTGGGGATAAGGAGAGGGATGGGAGGGAGTGGGGGACAGGATGGCTGGGATATGGGGTACAGCCACACAGGGAGAAGAATTTTGAGGCGCCTCAAAATACACCACAATGCACGTGGGGAACAGGATGGCTGGGATATGGGGTACAGCCACACAGGGAGGAGAGCGAGGCATTGGGTGAAGGAATGGGAGGGAAATGGAGGGCGGTGTGCGACAGGTGGCACACCACACAGAGCGTGCGCAGATTCTCCACTCCGCACTCGCCACCCCCCTCTGCCACGGCCACTTTATGATCTGCATGCCATGCGTTGCCCTCTGTGGGAATATCTATTAGATGTTGCAGCCTGGACCATACAGAACCGCACTGCACTGTACCGCACTCACAGTGGTACATGGCGAAGTGGGGCGCCCAGTGCAGGATCACTCGGCGACTGTCAGCAGGGGATAGCACCCTGATGGCCGGGGCCAGACTGCAGCACAGCACTGAACAAGATTGCACAGCACTGAACAAGATTGCACACCACTGAACAAGAGTGCACAGCACTGAACAAGATTGCACACCACTGAACAAGATTGCACACCACTGAACAAGAGTGCACAGCACTGAACAAGATTGCACACCACTGCAGAGGACCGCACTCACAGCTTGGGGTACTTGGCAAAGTGCGGCGCCCAGTGTAGGATCACTCGGATCCTCTTCGGTGGTCAGCGGGGGGTAGCGCCCTGATGGCCGAGAGGAGAGCGCAGCACAGCACTGCACAGCATAGCACACCACCGCACAGCACTGTACACGACTGCACTGCACCGCACAGCACCATTGCACTCACAGCTTGGGGTACTTGGCGAAGTGGGGTGCCCAGTGCAGGATCACTCGGCGGCGGTCAGTAGGGGGTAGCACCCTGATGGCCGAGACAAGAGCATGGCAGTCGAGGTTGCATGTCACACACACGCCTCGCTCGAGTGCAAATAGCTCCTGAGGTGATGAGAACGGGGAGAGGGAGGGGGGGGAGGACGGATGGGAGAGATCAGAGCGGTCAGCAGGGGGTAGCACCCTGATGGCTGAAACCAGAGCGTGGCAGTCCAGATTGCATGTCACACACATGCCTCGCTCCAGTGCAAACAGCTCCTGATGTTGTGCGTTGGTAATGCAGGGAATTGACAGGAGGGGAGGAAGACAAACCACAAAGCACGAAGCAACTCCTGAGGTGTGGGACGAAAGGCAGGGGCAACTGCAGTGCAACCGCACATGCCATGCCCGAATGAAACACCTTCTGAGGTGGGATGTGAGGAGGGATGTGAGGAGGGATGTGAGGAGGGATGTGAGGAGGGATGTGTGGAGGGATGAGAGGAGGGATGAGAGGAGGGATGAGAGGAGGGATGAGAGGAGGGATGTCAAGAGGAGAAACGTAAGGAGGGAAGAAGGCATGCGAGGAAGGAGGTGGGGTTCTTACCTGGCGAAGGAACGAAAGGGAGGTGCGAGAGAGGTAGGTGGAGAAGCAGGAATCGCAGCAGAAGAGATGGCGGGGAACCGTTGGCGCCCTTGCTGCATGCGTCCTGGTGAGAGGCAGATTCACACGGCAAGGAATCGTGAAAATCGGGAGAGGTTAAACAGAGAGGTAGGTGGAGAAGCAGAAGTCGGAGCAGAAGAGATGGCGGGGCACCGTTGGCGCCCTTGCTGCATGAGTCCTGGTAAGGGACAGAGAGATACACGGAGTGACAGTGAGAGAGGTAGGTGAGGAGAAGCAGGAGTCAGAGCAGAAGAGATGGCAGGGCACTGTTGGCGATCTTGCTGCGAGGGAACTGGTGAGAGAAAGCGGGGGAGAGTGGGAACGGGAGGGATAGAGAGGAGAAGGGAGAGGATGAAGGGAGAGGATGAAGGGAGAGGATGAAGGGAGAGGATGAAGGGAGAGGATGAATGGAGAGGATGAAGGGAGAGGATGAATGGAGAGGATGAAGGGAGAGGATGAATGGAGAGGATGAATGGATAGGTAGGTGGAGAAGCAGGAATTGGAGCAGAAGAGATGGCGGGGCACTGTTGGTGCCCTTGCTGCATGAGTCCTGGTAAGAAACACACCCACACGGAGAGGGGGGGGAAATGAGAGGGGAGGGAAACGTATACAGAGAGGAGAGGGGGAAAACAGGGAATGTGAAAAACATCATAGAAGTTGAACAGAGAGGTAGGTGGAGAAGCAGGAGTGGGAGCAACAGAGAGGGCGTGGCACTGTTGGTGCCCTTGCTGCATGAGACCTGGTGAGGGATAGACAACGGGAGACAAGAAGCGAGATACGAGTGACAGATGGGTGATTTAAGGATGGCGTTCTGACAGATGGTTGGTTTTGAGATTTATCAAAATTGGTCCATTTAATGTTGCGGGCCTTGTATCAAGGAGGAGTGTAAAGAGGATTGTTGAAAGGAAAGCGTGTGTGATGCACTATCAGGGTCACCAAGACTGATAAAGGGGATGTTACTAAGGGGATGGTATTAGAAGAGCGTCTCACCGGCAGATCTGACCACACATGCGGCAGAGTGGGGCCCAGTGATTGCTGCCACGAGGCACACTCTCAGAGGCTGAGACGCCAGCAGGACCAGACTTGGCTTCGTGCAAGTGCTCAGTGCTTGCACACGCTGCTTCTGCTTCTGCTTCCCCTGCCCCAGCGCCTGCCCCTGCCCCTGCCCCTGCCCCTGCAGCTGCTCTTTCTCCAGTCGCCACCCGTCCCCCTTCTCCTTCCCCCGCCCCTGATAGTGCTTGTTCTGCCATCTCCACCACTACTCCAACTGTAACTGCTGCTTTCACTGTGCCTGTCGCTTCCCCTGCTGTAGCTGCTGCCACTGCCGTTTCTGCTACTTCTGCTACTCCTGCTACTCCTGCTGCTTCTCCACCTTCTCTTGCTGCTGCTCCTCCTGGCACAGCAGCAGCAGCAACAGAACCACCACCAGCAGCAGCAACAGCAGCAGTAGCAGCAAGTCGCCCCCACAGCTGCCATTCTGTACGCATGCGAGTGCCCCGCCCATGCACCCTCACCGCCCTCATCTCCCTCTCCACCACCACCACTCCTCCTCCTCCATCCGCTGATGGCCCTCTGGCTGTTCCTCCTGACCCACCTGTGCTTCCACCACCCACTCCCCTTCCCTCCCTGGCAGCAGTGAGTATATCCCCTCTCGTCGCCCACCTCTTCTTGCTGCCACACGGCCCTGCCATGCCCTGCCAGCACCACACACAGGAGGAAAATGAGCTGGAGGTTACTCCTTAGCGGCAGCGAGTATATCCCCTCTCGTTGCCCACCTCCTCTTGCTGCCACACGGCCCTGCCATGCCCTGCCATGCCCTGCCAGCACCACACACAGGAGGAAAATGAGCTGGAGGTTACTCCTTAGCGGCAGCGAGTATATCCCCTCTCGTTGCCCACCTCCTCTTGCTGCCACACGGCCCTGCCATGCCCTGCCAACAGCACACACAGGAAGAAATTGGGCTTGATTTGGGGTTACTCTTTCAATGCACATATCCACAACACCTCTCGCCATAACGTTGCTGAAAGGGAGCGGGGCGGGAGCAGCACTTGCTCAGCTCCAGCACTTGCTCAGCTCCCAATAGGCAAACACTATCGGAAACGAGTCGTCTCAGCATAACACCTATCACCATAACACCTATCACCATAACACCTATCACCATAACACCTCTCACCACAACACCTCTCTCCATGACGTCACTGAAGGCTCACCATGACGTCACTGAAGGCTCACCATGACGTCACTGAAGGGGAGGGGGAACAGCACTCGCTCCAGCTCCTCCGCCACAGGAAGCGCCAGGATCCTTCCAAGCAGCTTCCTCCGGTGCTGCGGCTTCCCGCCCCCCACTCGCTGACGAATGACCTGGCGGCCTCTCGAAGCGCCACGTGTCGCCGCAGGATTGGCGGCATGCGATCCTCTGAGTCCACGAGCTGGGGGGAAGCTGCAGAGGAACCTTCCTTCTTGCTTTCTATGACACAAAGGGGGTTGCTTATAACGAGGTCCAGATCTTCTGGATGGAAGTTTTGCTCGAGTGGAACTGGGGCGAATGGACGGTCAGGATGGCTGCAGAACAGATGGATCCTGCCCGTGTGATTGCTCACCTGCCCAATTAAAAGTCCCCACAAGTCATGGCACCGGATTATAAGGAGGCGCATAATGCATACTCGCAAGAATACTCACAACGTAGGGAAATCACAAGCACAGACATGCATGGAACAGACGCACGGAGGGAATGCAAGGAGGGAAAGGTGCAAGGTGGAAATGATACAAGGCTCACACGGACCTGTGAAGGATGCCACATGGGAGGAAAGGGCTAAAGAAGCTGGGAAACGGAAGTTTGGACAGAAACAAAGGCATGCGCATTCATAATCACCTCGAATCGCAGGTCCTCCGGTTTGATCTGCGTCCATCGCTTTCCATCTGCCTCCTCCTCCTCCTCTTCTTCCTCCACCCTGCCCATTTTTCCCTTATCATCTGCACAACAGTGAATTGCTGCACACTTCCCTCCCACATCCCTACTAGGAGCACTGCTCTCCCCCACTGGCCTGCAGCGACAAGGACTATTGGTGTCACATTCATGTGCGTACATGTCTTCCGCTTGCGGTCTGCTCAATGAGGCGCCTGGCAGTTGGGGCCTGTTTAACGTGGCCTTTTCTTCCTTGCTCTCCATTCCACCGGCGCCCTTCTCTGCTTCTCTACCCTCAATCTTGCCCCCCTCTCCCAGTTCATCGCTTCCCGTCCCCTTCTCTGTCCTTCTTCGCTTCACAGCAGAACCATCAGCAACACTATCCACTGTCAACCCTCCCTCTTGCTGCTTCTCCCCATCCTCAGCAGACTGGTCAGCAAAGCTATCCATTAGAAGCCTTCTTTCCTGCCTCCCCACTCTCTCCACCCCTCCCTCTGTCCTTCTTCGCTTCACAGCAGAACCATAAACAACACTATCCACTGTCAACCCTCCCTCTTGCTTCTTCCCCCCGTCCACAGCAGTACCATCAGCAAAGCTATCCATTAGAAGCCTTCTTTCCTGCCTCCCCACTCTCTCCACCCCTCCCTCTGTCCTTCTTCGCTTCACAGCAGAACCATAAACAACACTATCCACTGTCAACCCTCCCTCTTGCTTCTTCCCCCCGTCCACAGCAGTACCATCAGCAAAGCTATCCATTAGAAGCCTTCTTTCCTGCCTCCCCACTCCCTCCACCCCCCCCTCCGTCCTGCCTCGTTTAACAGCAGACCCGTCCACAACACTATCCACTACCAGCCCTCCCTCTTGCTGCTTCCCCCCATCCACAGCAGCCGACACACGCTCTGCACTGCGGCACAGCCTCTGCCACGCCGTCTCATCCCGAGAGTCCTGAACGGAAGGAATGCACGAGAAAGGGAAGAAGAGGAGCGAGAAGAGAGGAGTGAGGAGGCAGATAGAGTGACATAACTTCCCTTCCAGCACTCCCTCTTGCTGCTTCCCCCCATCCACAGCAGCCGACACGCGCTCTGAACTGCGACACAGCCTCTGCCACGCCGTCTCGTCCCGAGAGTCCTGGATATGGGCAGGGAGGAGAGGAGAGGAGTGGAGTGAGACGGGCGATATAATGACTTCCCTCCCTCCCTCTCTCGTGCTGCTCCCCCCCGTCCATACCACAGCAGCCGGCACTCGTTCTGCACTGCAGCACAGCCTCTGTCACGCCGTCTCATCCTGAGAGTCCTGGATGGGGGCAGGATGGAGGGAAGAAGAGGAGTGATGAGAAAAGAAGGCAAAAAAAGGGTCATCCCTGTCCCCCTCTGTCTTGCTGCTTCGCCCCATCCACAGCAGCAGACACACACTCTGCACTGCGACACAGCCTCTCCATGCCGCCTCGTCCCCGAATTGACTTTTGAGGCGCCTCAAAAGTCGACACTCTGCACTGTACCGCGACACAGCCTCTCCATGCCGCCTCATCATCACTTTTGAGGGAATCCTGGGTGAGGGGGAGAGAGGAAAAAAAAGCAAAGCAAGGGAGCCTCACCTTAGCACAGAACATTACCACGTTGACAGGGAAACTCTGGCCCCGCCTGTGCGCCCTGTCCTCTGCCTGCAGCAGATCTTCCGCAGCTTATGTTGAGAACCTGTATTAGGGTTGCAGCAGTCTCACCTTGGCACAGAACATCACCACGTTGACAGGGAATTTTTGGCCTCTCCTGTGCGCCCAATCCTCTGCCTGCAGCAAAGCCGCTGATTTGCCACTCACCATCTTTAAGGAGGAAGAATCCTCACCTTGGCACAGAACACCACCACGTTGACAGGGAACCTCTGGCCTCGCCTGTGCGCCCTATCCTCTGCCTGCAGCAGATCTGCTGATATGTCATGCCATGCACCTTGAGCCAGGACGCAGCACAGTTACATCCTCACCTTGGCACAGAACACCACCACGTTGACAGGGAACCTCTGGCCCCTCCTGTGCGCCCTGTCCTCTGCTTGAAACGAATCCACTGATTTGCCACTCACCACCTTGAGACAGGAAGCAAGAGTCTCACCTTGAGACAAGCAGCACTCTCACCTTAGCACAGAACTCCGCCACGTTCATCACATGGAATCTCTGCCCCTTCCTGTGCACCCTATCCTCTGCCTGCAGCACATCCGCTGCCTTGCCTCTCACCTTGAGGGAGGAGGAATCCTCATCTATGAAGTAGGGCTGCAGTGGTCTCACCTTGGCACAGAACACTACCACGTTGACAGGAAACCTCTGCCCCCTCCTGTGCGCCCTATCCTCTGCCTGCAGCAGATCTTTCGCCGCTTATGTTGAGAGACTGGATCAGGGTTCCAGCAGTCTCACCTTGGCACAGAACACAACCACGTTCACAGGGAACCTCTGCCCCCTCCTGTGCGCCCTGTCCTCTGCCTGCAGCAGATCTGCTGCCGCCCTCGGGATCTCCGCAAACACAATCGTCTGCGCCGCACTAAAGTCCAAGCCCACGCCGCCCGCCGTCACGCCCACTATCGCCACCCGGACCTGAGGCTCGGTGGCGAACCTCTTGACAGCCTCGGCCCGCTCCAGAGGAGGCGTGGTGCCGTCCACCCGAACCAACTCAAACCGCATAGCAGCTTTGGCAGGCTTGGCAGGTTCGGCAGGCTTGGTACGGCACGCAGGCTCGGCAGGGTCGCCGTACCTCCTTCCCCTGCTCCCCGCATCCCCACCTCCAATCTCCACCACTCCTTCCTCTTCCTCTCCTTCTCCTTCGCCCTCTGCCATTCCACTTCCCCTCACCCCCTGGGATTCCCTTTCTCCCTCAGCTCCCCCCACTTCCTCTGCCCCCCCCACCTCTTCACCCGCCCCTCTCTCCTCATCCATCCCACCCCCCTTCTCCTCATCATCGCCTCTCCTCAGAATGCTGGCAGCAGCAATGCGGTAGACAGCAGCCTGTAGGGCGTCCATCACCACGTGGTGGTGGGCGAAAATCACCATCTTCTCTACCATCCGCCCATTCCTTCCCCTGTGCTTCTTCTCACTCCTCTCTTTCCTCTCGCTTGGTCCCTCCCCCTCCACATCCCCACCGCCTCCAACCCCTTCTCCTCCCCTTTCCTCGCCTCCCACCCCTCCCTCGCCTCCCTCTTCCTCTCCGCCCTCCTCACACCCCTCCCAACCCCTCAGAACCGAGCAGTGACTCAACCACTCTTCCACCCCTCTCATCTTGGCCAGTCCAAGTTCTTCAGGGCTCAACCCCCCAACCCCAACCTTCCCTCCTCTCCGCCCCTCCCTCTCCTCTGCTCCCTGCTTCCTCCTCCCCCTACCACCCCTTGCACCCCCTCTTCCACCTCTTATGCTTCCACCCCTCACACTCCCCTTTCCGTCCCTTTCCCCACCTCTTCCACCCCCCACATCCCCCCCACCAGCATTTGAATTACCCCCTTCAGCCCTTAAAGCCCTCATCCTCCTCCCCCTACCGCCCTCGGCCGCCTTTGCATCACCCACAAGTGCCTTCTTATTATCTTGTACGATATCCGCCGTTTTACAAGGGTCAGAATCACAGCTCCGCTCACTGTTTCTTTCACTGCTCTTTTCCACTTCCGGATCCTTCAAATTTCCCTGTTCCACACCCTCTTCCCCTTCACCCTCTTCCCTATCATCCTCCTCACCCTCTCCTTCCTCTCCTGCCTCCTCTTCTCCCCCTTCCTCCCCCCCGTCCTCATTGTCCTCTCCCCCATCCTCCCCCTCTTCTGTATCTACATCCTTGGATTCTTTGTCTCTATACACCACAGCACTACCCCCTGCCAGCTCAGCAACTCTCTGAACCGCAAGTGCCACGTCAGATGGTTCAAGGCGCAGCCTGATGACCTGGCGGCGCTTAGGTGGCAGCTGCAGTGCCACCTCAGACTTGAGCCGACGGATCTGCAGCAGGGCAGAGAGAAACGTCCATCCACACACACATACATAGTACGTGATCGCTTGCATCATCTGGAACAAGAGAAGGAACAAGACTAGGGAGAAAGAACAAGAGGGAAAGGCTCAAACGATGATTCGTGCCTCTGCCTCACTATGAAGGTCTGTGACTGCACCCCTCCGCACCTGGGAAAACGCCTCCTCACCATGACGGTGCGGGACAGCAGGACGTGCAGCACACGCAGTCGAATCCCCCTTGAGAATTCCCTGCTGTCCTGAGGTGGCAGAACGGGCTAGCACAACCACCCCCCCTCCTCACCACGTCACACCCCTCTTCACCGTGACCATGTGTGACAGCACCCTTCTGCACCTGGGAAAACCCCTCCTCACCATGACGGTGTGCGACAGCAGGATGTGCAGCTCATGCAATCGAATCCCCCTTGAGAAGTTTCTGCTGTCCCTCTTACTGTCCCTCCCCTGGTCGCAGCAGTCATTGTATCCGTCCAGGTGTGTTATGAGTCGACTGAAAATCCCTCCTCCTCACCATGACCATGTGTGACAGCACGAGCACCCCCGTCTCTCACCATGACGGTGTGCGACAGCAGGATGTGCAGCTCGCGCAATCGAATCCCCCTCGAGAAGTCTCTGCTGTCCCTCCCCCTGTCGCAGTAGTTGCGAGCAAACTCGTACTTGGACGTGCCCAGCAGGCCAGGCCTAGGTGAACCAGCGAGCGTAAGGGGAGACGGTTGGAGAGAAGTCAGGGGGGAGAAGGCTGGACAATGACAAGCAGACAGGCCAGACAGGTTTGCAGATAGAGAGATGGAAGAAAGGGCAAGGAGAACGGCCCAGCTCGCAGGGAGAGAGAGAAGTATCCTGATGTACGTATCTCTCTCAAGCTCGGCTCTCTGGGAGGGAGGGGGGGTGTATTTTGAGGCGCCTCAAAATACGCCTCAAAAGGCGCCTCAAAGGCGCCTCTAACCCCAGCTCGCAGGGAGAGAGAGAAGTACCCTGATGTATGTATCTCTCTCAAGCTCGGCTCTCTGGTAGTGGGAGGGATGGCTTACCAGAGGCTGTCGACCAGGTTGAAGATGTCAAAGGGCCTGCAGGTAGAGAGTAGCACAGAAAAGGGGATGGTGGAAACATTTGAGCCAGCTCAAAAGAGGCTGTCGACCAGGTTGAAGATGTCAAAGGGCCTGCAGGTAGAGAGTAGCACAGAAAAGGGGATGGTGGAAACATTTGAGTCGGCTTAGAAGAGGCTGTCGACCAAGTTGAAAATATCAAAGGGCCTGCAGATAGAGAGAAGCACAGAGAAGGGGATGGGGGAAACATTTGAGCCGGCTCAAAAGAGGCTGTCGACCAGGTTGAAAATATCAAAGGGCCTGCAGATAGAGAGAAGCACAGAGGAGGGGATGGGGGAGAAGATGCTCATAGAGTCTTGTTAGGAAGGATAAGCAGCGAGCGGAGAAGAAAGAGTGGGGAATGAGCAGCAGCAGAAGCAGCAGCATCACCTCGTTACAGTGTCACACGGTGAAAAGGGGACGTGCCTGGAGAGGGATGGAGTGCCGGTGAGCAGGATGGCTCGCTTGGTGCCACTGTAGCGAGGTGAGATGACATTTGAGTCGACTCATTAGTCACCTCGTTACAGTGTCACATGGTGAGTGCGGGAACGTGCCTGGAGAGGGATGGAGTGCCGGTGAGCAGGATGGCTCGCTTGGTGCGTCGAATCACGTCCACCACCACTCGAGTCTGTTGCGTGGTGGTGGGGAGGTGGGGAGGTGGGGAGGGAAGGGAGGAGAGGGAAGGCGATAAAGGAAGTTGAGAATTGAGTTGAAGTGCCTGGAGAGAGGGGGGGTGCTGGTGAGCAGGATGGCTCGCTTGGTGCATCGAATCACGTCCACCACCGCTCGAGTCTGAACGAGGTCGTGGAGAGGTGGGGAGAGAAGGGAGGACAGCAACGGGCGGGAAGGGAGGGTGGACAGGGAAGATGTGTCTTGAGTTGACTCCAAAGGTGCCTATTTTTGAGGTGCCTCAGAAGTTGAGTTGACTGGATTGGTGCCTTGGTGCGCCGAATCACCTCCACCACCACTCGAGTCTGAGACGAGGTGGTGGTGGAGGTGGGGAGGAGAGGGTGGAAAGGGAAGGCAGTAAGGGAAGAAGAGTGTTGAGTAAGAAGGTGCCTCTGTGTTCCGAATCACATCCACAGCCACTTTAGAAAGAGGGAGGTGGACACAGAGCATGGCTTCATTACAGAAATGACACGTGTCGAATTGAATCCATTCCCCATACTATTTCTCCCTTTCTCATTCTGCCTCTATCTCACCTCGAGGCAGTCAAAGGGTTTCCTGGCAGTGCGCAGCACGTGAGCCTCGTCCACCACCACCATGCCCCACCCCCCTTGTTCCCCTCACCTCTCATCGAGATTTCGGGTTGCAGGCATAAAGAGATTCAAGGTTTAGGTACTTCCGCACCTCAAGGCAGTCAAATGGCTTCCTGGCACTCCGCAGCACGTGAGCCTCATCCACCACCACCATGCCCCACCCAACTCGTGCCACACCCCTACCGTCAAGGTTCGGGGTGGGTTCAGGGATTCATTCACCTCGAGGCAATCAAAGGGCTTCCTGGCAGTGTGCAGCACGTGAGCTTCGTCCACCACCATGCCCCAACCCCCTCGCCTCCTCACCGCCTCATCAACATTCAACCCAGCATCAGGATATCAGGGTCACGGTGTGAGTGAGAGAGTTGTGGACATTCTCTCACCTCCAGGCAGTCAAAGGGTTTCCTGGCAGTGCACAGCACGTGTGCCTAGTCCACCACAACCATGCCCCACCTCTCCCACCAGGGTTTCAGGTTGACGGTTCAAAGGTTGAAGGCGTAAGTTCTAGAGGTTGAGGCCTGAAGCATTCTCTCACCTCCAGGCAGTCAAACGGTTTCCTGGCAGTCCTCAGCACGTGTGCCTCATCCACCACCACCATGCCCCATCCCCCTCGCCTCCTCATCAGCGTTCGTCGTAGGCGCCCTGCCATGGTGAAGGACGTGATCACCACTGCTGGGGCTGGCATAGTGGGGGGAGAAAAGGTGCGGGGCGGTTGAGAGGGGTAAGTGAGGCAAGAGGAGGGTTCTGGAATGGTCCACGCACCACCTCCGTGCCTCACCCACCTCGCCTCACACGCTCTGCCACTATTAGGGCTCTTATGGGGACGCTAGGAGGGTGCAATGAGGGCAGACACGAGATCAGGTGCAAGGAGGTGTGCGACGGTTAAAAGGGGTGAATGAGGGAGAATACGGATGTTAAATGGTGCACCCACCCTCAAATGTCTGCCACGGTGGGCTATAGCAAACACACATAAGGAGGTAGCTTTACTGCTGCATCCAGCCCACCCTTGGCATTCTACCCTTGATCCCACTACACTAGATCGTCCCTCTGGTCCTGAAGATTCACCACACCTGAGCTCTTTGCCTTGTTCGAGTGATCTTCCGTGCCAGCTACGAGCGACCTCTCCCCTTTGTCCTCCTCCACTAAATCGTCCCTCTGGCCAAACACTGCAGGCAGTCAAAGGAGTCAAGAGGTAAAGAAAATCATCGATGCTAGGACACGAAAAGGGTGCAAGGAGGGCAGGTGCTTAACGATGTGGATCTGGGAGGGGCGTAAGAAGGGAAGCCGCCTCTCTTGTTGCTCGGAAGAGGACACCAGTTAGGTGCCATTGGGCTTATACGAGGCAGCAACTTAGGATTCAACACCAGTAGTTGTTGGTAGTACTTTGTAGAAAAAACATCTTGTGTAAAACTTCGGTGGTAACCGGTTTCGGCTTACAATGCCTTCTTCAGACCAATGGTCTGGAGGGCAGGAGGCTTACCGATGTGGATCTGGGAGGGGCGGAGGAAGGGCAGCCATCTCTCCAGCTGCTCGGCCCACTGCAGTCTGAGGCATGCCGGACACACGATGAGGAGAGGGCCCTCTGCCATGTACCACGCCGCTGCTGCTATGGCCTGCCGGGGCAAGCGGATGGACGGGCCGAACACGAGAGACAGGGAGCAAGCGAAGAGCCAGTTGAATCCTCTTGAGGCAGCGCTAAGGCTAGCTGTACTGGTCGGCCCACTGCAGCCTGAGGCATGCCGGGCACACGATGAGGAGAGGGCCCTCTGCCATGTACCACGCCGCTGCTGCTATGGCCTGGGGGAGGGGGAAGGAGTGGGAGATACCACAAGCAGTTGCTCAGTCCACTGCAGGCTGAGGCATGTCATGTCAGCCGGCTGGACACACAACGAGGAGAGGGCCCTCTGCCATGTACCACGCCACTGCTGCTATGGCCTGACGAGAGGGGGCAACAGGAGGATAGGAGCAAGGGAAGTACTGTAGTGTGAGGCACGCCGGACACACAACGAGGAGAGGGCCCTCTGCCATGTACCACGCCGCTGCTGCTATGGCCTGACGAGAGGGGGCAACAGGAGGATAGGAGCAAGGGAAGTACTGTAGTGTGAGGCACGCCGGACACACAACGAGGAGAGGGCCCTCTGCCATGTACCACGCCACTGCTGCTATGGCCTGCAGTGGATGGGGCAGAAGGAGGGTGTGGGTGGGAGGTGCGTCGTGAGTCAGTCTCGGATCACTGCAGTCAGAGGCATGCAGGCCGGCCGGACACACACACACACATACACACACACACACACACACACACACACACACACACACACACACACACACACACACACACACACATGTGGGCAGAACTCATCAAACAAACAAATTCGCGGCAAGCCCACCTGTAAGGTCTTCCCGACGGCCATATCGTCTGCAATCAGGCATCGCCCCCCTCTCCCCACTGCAAACTCCACTCCCTCCCTCTGGAACGGCCTTAGACACCCACACACACACGTATATGGTCTACCTGGATGGTCTTCCCCACACCCATCTCGTCTGCAATCAGGCATCGCCCCCCTCTCCCCACTGCAAACGCCACCCCCTCCCTCTGGAACGGCAGCAGTGCTCGCCGGAGCTGAATTGGCAGCCGTTGCTCCATCTCCCGATCCAACGCACTCCTTGTCGAACCACCTTGCCCCGAACCTACTGCCAGGTCACTTGCTGGACAGGCGAGGTTGAGAGAAGGTGAAAAATGAGTGCCTTCTGCTGCTGAAATTCCTGCCCATCCTGCCCCTGCTTCTCCTCCTGCTGGTGCTGCTGCTTCCGCTGCTCCTCCTCCTAATCCTCTTGCTCCTCCTCCTCCTGCTGCTGCCACTGCTGCTCCTCCTGCTTTCACTTTAACAGATACTCCTGCGGTGACCGCTGTTGCTGTGGCTCCTTTGATTCCGACCTCTGCTGCTGCGGATGCTGCTGCTTCCACCATCCCTCTCATCCTCTCCCTCTCTTTCCTCTCCTTCAACGCACCTAGCGTACTCACAGGCACGCCCTGCATCCGCACCCCCACACTCACTCTCTCACACTGCTCTGGTTGTCGGTTTGGAGGAAGGGGTTGGAAGGCTTGGAAGGGAGGAATGGAGCGGAGGGAGAAGAGGAGGGAGTCGTAGAGGCGAAGAGGGAAGACCGGCACCAGGCGGGTGATGCCCCTTGATGCCTCTGTTGCCACGTGCTGCCACCTGATTGGCCGAACCTGTCATTGCAGTGAACGGGATCGGATCGCAGAAGTGTTAGCTGAATAACTAGTGTCTCGGCGAATCTTTGAGAATTGTCAAAAATCGCTCACAATATATAGGAGCAAGACCTTGCAACTGCAACAGCCCATTAAGAATTCATCATCGTTGTGTAACGGCGTAATCTTTTTTGTATGAAAACATAATCGATGCAAGAAAGAAACTGCCCTTGAGGATCAAATAACAAAGATAGAGCACCACGTCTCATCACCTTAACGAAGCTCATGCAGAACGCAAGAGCAGTCTGATGGTCCAACCGCGTCCCGCTGCTGCCCCTGCTGCCCCTGCTGCCTGCATTCTCCTCCGTGCCATTCTGCGGCCTTCCTGAAATTTCCCGCTGGTGCACTGATTTCTCGTTACTAGAATGCCCTGTATTAGCTGCGTCTCCAATCACTGGCACCTTCGGATTTCCTCGACCAGTGCCGGATTCTCTCCCGTTCTGCCCGCCAGGCGCTCTGCTTGCTTCTCTTCCAACCCTTCTCATGTACTCCTTGTAAGCAGCTCCGCTTGTGTCCCAATCCGCAAAGACACAGAACTCTTCTGTTGAAACGAGCTCTAGAGACACCTGCAGAGGAGCTACTGGGCGCTTTTGCTGCGCTTGGTGCTCCTGCGCCTGCTGTTGTTGCTGCTGCTGTTGCCGCTGCTGGTAGTCGCATTGCTCCTGCTGCTTCCGCTGCTGCTGCTGCTGCTGCTGCTGCTGTTGTTGTTGATGATGATGATGATCCCCGCTCTCCTCTCCCCCGTCCACCTGCCGCCTCATCCTCTCTGCTCGCCTCTGCATGGCTGCTTGCCGATTCGCATTGATTCGCTCCTGAACGTCCAACGGAAGCAGTAACTCTTCACTTCGTTTCTGAGACTTGTCACAAACCAGCAGCGAATCTTCACTCGGTTTTTGCAATTTCTCACAGACAAGCAGTAAATTTTCGCTTGCCTTTTCCAATTTCTCACAAACCAGCAGAGAATCCTCACTGTTGTCCCCCGCTTCGGCAGCAAATCCTGCCTTGACTGATGCGCATTCAGCAGCTGTCTGCACCAATGCTCTGCCCTCTGACGCTTTCTTCAAGACCTGACTCTTCTGCTCTGGTCCCTGATGCTCTATCCCCGCTGCTCTGCTCCCTAATCCTTGTATCGTGCCCTCTTCCTTGTGTTCCACTTGACCCTTCTCTATCTCCCTCGGTCCCCAAGACATCTCATTTTCAACCTGCAGCAGTTTATCAGTGCTGTCTGTGCTCTGCGCGAGCTCCTCGCGAATCCTGCACTCGGTGCTCTGATAATGTTTCGACTGCTGAATTCCATTTTCATGAGGATCCGTGCGTTCGGTCTCCTGTGCTTTTTTTGGAGTCGACCCAGGAAGCAGCTGCTTTCCCTGTGTTGGAATATTCGTCCGTTGTGCTTCATCAGGCACCCGTACCGGCGCTTGATCGCCTGCAGGCGACTGATCGCAGCCAAATGTCGCCTGCGACTCGTCAGCGTCGTCGACCAGCCAGGCGAACACCTTAGCTGCTCGCGACGTTTTGCGACTGGCGAATCCGGGCCCTGCGACGAGTAGATGTCGCCATCCTTCTTTTGTCCGCATCACTGCCGGAAACGCGATCTTACAGCACTAAGCGTTCGTTAATGGGACACTGCTGGCTAAGATTACTAAAGATACCACGGTCTAGACACACCATGTCCGATACAATCCAGAATGCGGGTACCAATATAGCCACTTCTGAAAACGGCAAGCTGTAGTGGCCTAAGGACATGTTAAAATTATACAATGGACCAGGACTTGGAGTTGCTGTGAGCTACCATACAATGGTCTGCTTCTATCATCAACCATGAGTCGAGCATAACAGCAACGACCTAGAGATTGGTTTCGGTTCGGAACGGAATCACCAAGAGGAATTCAGGGTTTCTGGATTCCAGAAAGCAACAAACTGGATTCCCGAATCAGGCTGAAAGAGGAGGAACAAAAAGTGACGCTGACGCCATTTTCAGTTTCGCCATTGTCGGAGCGAACAAGGTCGGAAAAACTCGAACCCATCTGCGACAAGGTCGAAAAAACTCGAACTCTGTTACCGCAACCTGTCAGAGGTTGGCTCCAGCGTGGCCAATCCCGATGGATGCAAATTCTGTACTCGCTATTCGCCATCGAGATTCGAGAATATGTTTCGCTACTGGGAAACCACTTCCTGTACTCACTTCACCACTGTAAGCGGATGCCAGTGCATGCAATGGTAAGGAACCACATGAGCAACATAAAAAACTTTATGTAAAACATATCGAGTGCCAAACAGACATACGGTAACATATTTCCTAAAGCAAAGCCACACAGTAACCAGTTAAACAATACGGATGGTAATATAAAAAGGGCAAACCTACATAACCCGGTGTTCCACCACTACATGCTTGTATCATCAACCTAGAGCATTTGTCCCGTTTGCTTGCAATCCTAGCCATGCTGCAGCTTCTGCTGCTGCAACTGCACCTGCCTGCATCTACGGTACTCCTCCCCCATACCCACCTCCAACCGTTCCCTCCCATTTTCAAAATCAGCTGCACTGCTTGCACTGACCACACAGCACCACACAGCACCACACCACACCACCATCTCCACCGTGTCTGCCCTCCATTCCATCATCACTCCACACCATCGCAAATCCCTTCACCAGAGGCTGATGCCGCCTCCCACCTCCACTGCCGCCTCCCACCTCCACTGACAGCTCCCAAGCCCTCTGTCAGCTTCCAGGAACCTTCTCCACTGCCACTGGAATCTCCTGCTAACCACAGCACTGCCTCCTGTCAGTCAATTCCCCTCCTCATGCATGCTGCTGCTTCAACCCCTCTTCACCTCCTCTTGCATGTGGATATGTGTGAATGCATGTTGCACGTGAAAGCAACCGGAACCGGAGCGCGTCTAGACGCACATAGATGCATGTGCATGCATGTGGACAGATGCGGATCACAGCCGCTCGTGCAGCCGTTAAATCCCATCAATGGACGGCAGCGATTCCTCCCACTCAATCACCGCTTTCGTCCTCGACGCGCCAGCTGCAGGCGCGCGGTTTCCGCCAACCAGCGCCGTCTCCAGATTCAGCTTCTTCTCCGCGTCGCGCTCCATTTGCTCGAGCTTCGCCTTGCGATGCGATCGCCAAAACACCCACGCGAGGCAGCCCAGAACCAGCAGCAGGAAGAATATTCCAATGGATAACCCCACCGCGAGTGCTACAGTGTCGTTGCTGGAAGATGGTGCGGGGGATGGCGGAGGCAGGGGTTGCGGGGGGGGAGGAACGGGGGAAGGGGGGGGCGGAGTGGGGGGAGCGGGGGAAGGCGGAGGAGATAGCGGAGGAGGTTCGAGGGAGATGGCTAGGGTAAATTCCCCTAGGTCGGGAGATTTGCAGGTGTAGTTGGTGGTACCCGTGACCGGAGTTGTAGATGACGGCGGCGGGGGAGACCTGTCGGTTGTTACTGTAAAATTAACCGGCAAACCGTCAGCGTCAAACGTCACGCAGAAGTAAAAATCCGGAAAGTAAACGTCCAACGCCAGGGAGACCTGAATCGGCGTGTTTGAATCCGTTACAGACACATTCAGCGGTTGGACAAGAGTCGCGCTGTTGATCATCGAAAACGGGTACACGCTCAGCCCCACGAATTGGGCCGCGTATTTGTAACCCTTCGGCGGTTTAAACGGCGCGGTGAAATTAGGGTAATTCTGATACAGTAACACCACCTGAGACTCGGTCGTAGGAACGTTTAATCCGGGCGGTAAGTAAAACTCCTTATAGCTAATACCATTTGCAGCGAACGACGCAGTATCGAGGACGGCGAGGTCCATAGTCGACCCAGACGAGGGTGTTGAAGGTAGGGTTATTATCGTTCCGTTGGTCGCATTTGCGACGTGCGAAAACGCAATCGCCTGCACGACTTCGTGGAACAGCTGTAACCGCTTCTTCGCGATCGCGTCTTGGTCGGCCGACTTCGTCGTTGCGGTCGCGGTTGGTTGCGCGGCTTTCCCGCGCACGGCACCCGGCGCAACGGGTTGCGCGGAGGCGAGCTGGTGCGCTATCGGCGACGCGAGGAGAAGCAGGGAGAGAAGGGCGAAGAGACGCGGTAGGCGGGACGGGAAGAACGAGGTGGTCCGACCCATAGCTGCAGGCCGGAAGGGAATGCGGGAACTGTCACTGGCACTAAGAAAAAAACGATTGAGAGGCGACGACTAAGAAGCGACACTGGCGGCGACTAATGACAGCGGTTACTTAGTGAAAGTAGGAGTCTGCAGGTCGGACCCGTTGCCATGGTGTAAACCTAGTTCGTAGTAGTTGCCTCTCTGCAGGAAGTGGTGATATACTCGTTTGCTATTGCGATTTGCAGTAATGAGAGGCGGTGAGCAGGGGCGAGAGTATTTGACCCAGTGGGTCCAGATGAAATGCGATATTGTCGCTGTCGCAAGTCCGTTTGAGAAAAGGGCTGCAGCTATGGCAATGGGTGCCTCAATTCGCAACCTTACTGGAAATTGCGCTAGTCATGGGAGGACGTGCTCTGATGGATTACTTGGGAAATGAGTGGAACGGAAATGACCAGAGCAGCAGGGCAGCGGGGCAGCAGAGCTTCAGCAGCAGCACCAGCAAAAGCAGCAACAGGAGCAGCGAGGAAAGCGAAACACATACACCGCTCTTTCACCGAGTGGGGTGGATGAAGGGTGCGCTAATTTGCCCTGAAGTCTCGAACAAAGCGGAGGGGGAGGGGTGGTGGTTCCGAAGCAAGGGGTTGTGCTTTTTTCTGCCTGCTGGTCGAGGCTCGAAGAATCAGGGGTCACCTGGTTTGACAGGTACTGATTGGTTTGGGAGCGGTCATTTTGGTTCGTTAATGCAGGCAGTACGTAGTCGACGCGCCGCGGCAGCTGACGGTGTGCCGAACCTCGAGGGGCAAGATAGGCGCGAGAATGGCGCAAGTGGGCTAAAGGGGAAAAGCCGAACCGAGTTCTTGGGGCTGAAGGCTTGGAATGGGAGCCGAGTTCTGGGCGACTTTTGGAAGTCGGTAAATCTGATTGACGTTCAAATTCTCGACAAATCAGGAGAAGTGGAAGATGTCCAACGACTGTCGTTATGTCGTCGCACAGTTCGTAACAAATCAACACAGAGGAGCAGGTCATCGCAGCGAATCGCCTGTCATGAATGTTCCTTCACGTTCAAACTAGCGGTGTGGTTCGTTTGCTCCGTACCTCTCTCTTTGGTTTTGCTCGTG